GATGAGGGCAACAAATGTACAAATGTGCTTGACACAATGGATGGATATATGGATTGTGATGAGTTGTACAAGCCCTCAATAAAATGATTAAAAAAGAAAAGAGAGACTAGGTGTGTTAGTCTGGGTAGACTAGAGAAACAAATCCAGAGAGACACTCATATGTGTATGAGAAAGAGCTTTATAAAGAGTAATTGTATATTAAGAAAACATCCCAGCCCAGTCCAGATCAAGTCCGTCAGTCTGATATTAGCCCATATGTCCGATGCCAGTCTATAGAGGCCTCTCTAGACTCACAAACCACAGGCAATGGCGCTAAATGCAGGAAGATCGCAAGCCAGTGGGTGGGAGGTTGTGGATCCAGTGGCAGTGTAAGCATCTCAGTGCTGGCAGGGGTCTCCACGTGGCTCCTCCAGCTCAGGACACTGGTGTAGTTCCATGTGTCTTGTCAGCTGCAATGTCTCCCAGGGAGTGAGCCTTGTCAGTAGAGAGTCTCCAAGGGAGTGAGTTGAACTGAGCCCTCTGAACTGCTGTTTGGACTAATTAGCTGTTACATCCCTTCGTGCTGTATATATCTATTTTCATATATATGTGTATATATGTATACACACAAATATACATATGTATGTATAATCATATATATGATGTGTCCTGGTTTTGTTTCTCTAGAGAACCCTATCTAACACAATTGTTACCGGGAGTGGTTCTAGAGCAGTGGTTCTCAACCTTCCTAATGCTGTGACCCTTTAATACAGTTCCTCATGTTGTGGTGACCCCCAACCATAAAATTATTTTTGTTGCTACTTCATAACTGTCATTTTGCTACTGTTATGAATCGGGCGACTCCTGTGAAAGGGTCATTTGACCCCCAAAGGGGTGATGACTCACAGGTTGAGAACGGCTGTTCTAGAGAAACAAGATCAACCAGATCATAAATCTGGGCTTCTCAAATTGCCTCTCCAGTCTGATTAGGCTTACCAGCACTGGTAATGCTATCTTTACCCCTAAAAGCGTGGATGAGTCTGACACTCTTACTAGAGAAGGGGTGTCAATCCATGGCGTGAAGCCGCCAAGCTAATATCCACAGAATCACCACCAATAGGTGCAGTGCTTGTGAGCGGAGAGGCTCTGGGTGATCGTGTGTTTGGTATTTTCCAGCAGTTTCGTCAGGATGAGAAGTATAAGGAAGCTGGTTGGCTGGTCCTCCTTACAATAGAAAATGTGATCAAGGAAAGGGATAATCTCAGAACCTCAGAAGCACGTTTAAATGGCCAAATAACAGACCTAAAAGCTTCAGCAGGTGCTACGAAGGAGAGCCTTCTCTCCTGTAGTAACAGAGCTTACATTGCCGAAAACTAAATCCAGAGTCTCATCATACGGGTCGCTGAATTACAGCGTCAGCTGAATTGCAGGTCTAGGACAGTGTCTGATATTAAATTAAAGGCATTAATTGGAAAGAATTGGGACCCTGAAACATGGGATGGGAACATATGGGCTGTTGATCCAGAAGAGGAGGATACTGAGCCCCTAGAGTCCATTGAGCCACCCCATCAGTAGATCCACCCCTCCCACCTGAGGGGATTAATCCACTATCAATAAAACAACCCACATCTGAGTAGATTAACCAAACTGGTTCAAGCTGAAATGCCAGGTGGGGCTGCACCTGTAGCGTTGTCTCAGGCAGATGCCGTACAAGATATTGCTGAAAACCTCCAGGAAACACCCCATTCCTGGTAGCAATGTTAGTCTGGGTTGACTAGAAAAACAAATCCAGAGAGGTACTCATATGTTTATATAAAGAGTAATTGTACATTAAGAAAACATCCCAGCCTAGTCCAGATCAAGTCTGTAAGTCTGATATTAGCCCATACGTCCGATACCAATCTATAAAGTCCGCTCTTGCTCTCTGGGGATGGGACCAGCATGCGGCTGCTTTAGCTGGTTCTCTGTCTCAACTTGTGAGCTACACTACCGGTGAGACAGCCAACCGTGGATTGTGTTGCTAGAGCTTGAGATTCCTTCGAGACTTGCTTCACCACACTGCTGGTGCGTACATCACTTAAGCTTGAAGCTGTCAGATCCGGTGGTCTTGCACTGCTTGAGTTCAACATTCCATTGGGGTCTGCTACGATAAGCTCCTGAACTGCTGACTGTTGGTGACCCACCCTGCTATTTGCTGCCTGTGGCGAGACTGCCTGCATTGCTCTAGGGAAGACTCAGTTGCCTACTTCCTTGACCTGGACCCAGCAGCCCTCGTGAGTTGAAGGACTTCCAGTATATTAACTGTTTCACAGAAGTAAGTTGAACTGAACCTTCCGTATTGCTGTGTGGACGGATGAGTTGGGAAAAAACAATACATATGAATTGTTGAATGTACAGCTGATTGGCCTGCTCTGAATTCACAATAAAAAATTAAAAAAAGAAAAAGAGCGAGAGAGGGGCCAGTCTCT